GCTCTCTTGCAAGCGGGCTCCCAAAGAGCCAGGCACAGCCTCATGGGCGAATAGCTGTGTTGCGCTGTCACAGCAGTGCAACACAACAGCCATGAAGTGACCACACTCACAAGCAGCCACCCGGCAAACTCCATTTGCAGCCGGGCACAGTGCCATTCACTGACCTATGGGTATCGCCAAGCCGTGTGAGAGCCTGTCCACCACCGCCCGGCTCCCGCGACTTAGCGCCTTCTAAATGCCAGTGAATGGCGCTCTGCACGGCTGGAGAGGGGGGTTGCACAAGCAGCTATTCCACTCTTGCTCACCCACCTCCCAGCCTCACAAGGCATGGCCCAGCTCTAATTATGGAGCCAGGAAACCTCTGCTGCCACCACCATCCCATCGTATTTTCGGGGAAACACGGTAGCTTGGTATTAATAGCATTTATCTAATCTACCTTTGAAGCCATTATGACATCTTGTGGTAAGAAATTCCATAGTTTAAATGCTCTGTGAAATACTTCTTTTTATCTGTGCTGAATCATCCAGCACATTTGACCTCACTGATTACACAGTGATTGGAAGAGTTTCAACTGACTTAGAGCTTAGAATGCTGGTTTATTGCTTTGTGATGACGATGACTTCAATAGCTTGAAGGATTTACATGTTAGACTGTGACTGCAAAGGTTATTTCAGACATGAAAAACAGGATTTGATCTTGCAGTCATGGATGTGAAATCTCCACTAATGGGTACACAGATGTGTACATGCATGGATAAATAAATGGTTGAAGAAATAATGAGAGGAGAGAGAATTGGAGAAAGTTCTATGTTTGCTCCTTGAACAACTAAACCTAACTATTCGGAGTTAATGAAACTACCATGAATTAATACCAAAAGCACATGTTATCCGTAATGCTCCCAAAAATTATTAATGAATTTTCTGCTTTCCGAAATAAAATCAAAGAACCTGCGCTTTCTTTTACAACACAGATTACTCTTTCCTATATTAACAAAAGGATCAGACTTCTTTCTTCCATGTCAAGGAATCTAACCTTAATTTGGTGCTTCATTGCATTTGTAATAACCACCAGCTAAACTGGAAGCAATCAGATCAAGAATATTAATTTGTCTAAAGATAGTCCAGTGAGCATTTTAACCATCTTGCAGAGGTTTGGTTAATACAAAGAAATTCTTCTCCTTATTTTTCTATTCCCCTGCTGTAATAACACTGCCAGCTGCTCTCGCTACTTCACATGAATTCTGGTCTATTCCAATTTTCCACTTCCTTGCATTTAATCCCAATGTTAGAAATGAAATCCCATGCTACACTAATATCCTGTTGCTAGTACAGAAGAGATCAATATTTCAAAATATCTTATGTTTTATAGATTGGGCATCTTTTGCATAAGAATATATTGGCACCTGGGTTATTTATGTGATAATGACTGCATTACTTTGTGTAGTGTAATAAAAGTACTGCACTGGGCAGTCAACATAACTGCATCTTGTTTCCTTCTATAAGTAGTCCTTGTTTAACATCCATTTATCACTGGATCATTTGAAATTGTAACAGGATTGAACAAAGAGTACTCGCACCCAGTCCTCCTGCAGTCACATGGCTTCAATTTGGGTACTTGGCAACTGGCTTGTATTACAACAGTCGCATCATAATGGTATCACAGTGGTTAGAATGCAGTACTGCAGGGCTAACTCACTGCTCACTCAAGAAGTTTGATTCTGAGCAGCTCAAGGTTGACTCAGCCTTCCATCTTTCCAAGGTCAGTAAAATGCAGGTGTAGATTGTTGGGGGCAATATGCTGACATTGTAAAAAACTCAGAAAGGATTGTAAAGCACTATGAAGTGGTATAAAAGTCTAAGTGCTATCGCTGTTCCTACCATCATGGTCACATGACTATCATTTGCAACTTTACTACCAGCTTCTGACAAGCAAAGTCAATAGAGAAGCCAGCAATCGTGGCAGGCAATCCTATGACTGCAGGATGCAACAACCACACATGATTCACCTAACAATGGCAACTGGGACTGCTGGAACTGCTGTCAAACATTGACATGGCAATTGACATTATGTCTTACAACTATATTGCTTAGCAACAGATTTTCTGGTCCCAGTTAACATCAGTGAGCAAGATCTAATCTGTATGAAAATGCTTCCATTTCAATTGAACATGTGTGAAATAGTAAGAATACCACCTTTCCTCCTGCTACTAGTCCATTTTACCATGAGTGACTGGATTGATAAACTCCTTGGGTTTTTTTTTAAACAAGTTCATTGAAGGTGCAGAGAAATGGCCTTCCTTCCTCCCACCCTCCCTCATTTCTTTAATAATTTTCTCTTTTAAGAAAGTTACTGGATTTTTTAAATGCTACAATATACTTTCACTATATTGCCTCCAATTTGTGTAATTAGCTAGTCCTCTGTAGGAAGATATCTAAGGGCTTCCTATTTGTGAGTATGTTTATATCATTGTGGATTTTTTCATGCTGTTAAAATTGTGCTAGGGTGGTGATGGCGAACCTATGGCACATGTGCCACAGGTGACATACAGAGCCCTCCAGCCATTGCTCCAGCCCAGCCCGACCATGCATGTGCATGCACCATAATTTTGGGGCCTCACGCAGCACCCTCGTGCCCCATTTTGGCTTCCAGGTTGGTGCAGGAGGACTTCCAGGCCTAAAACGGGATGTGGGGGAGTGTGTGCCCTGTTTTGGCTTCCGGATTGGTGCAGGAAGCCTTCCAGGCTTCCAGGGGTGCGTGCACAATGCATTAATCAGTTAGTCTGTTCTTTCTAGAATTGTTACTTTTCAAATGTTCTGATTGCTGGTAATACTTTTCCTATAAATAATGAGCAACCCCAGAGTATCTACATGAAAAGCATAAGTATTCTGGAACATAGTCTAGATGCTATACATAATTTAATGAGAAACTAGCTAGGTCTTCTGGATTTCANAGAAAGAAAATACATTACTACAAATTAAATTCAATGTATCTCATCATAACTATACATGCTTCAGTCTACATGCTGTTGATGGCTAGGCCCTTATAAACTATAGGTAGAATGGAGAATCATCAAAAAAAAAACACCAACCAAAGTTAATTTGAAGCAAGTCTTCAAGTGGAAAACTTCCCTTTATAAAGTAGGACTCATAACCACTCAGCTGCTTGGGAAAACCACTCTGGGCAAGGGGAAGGAGGCAGATGGTTATTTGCCTATTGGGGTTACTGAGATAGTTTAAGAATCTATAGCTAAAACATGACAGTATCTTGAAGATTCATTTCAATAATCAAGAGTTTCATAATCATAAAACATTCTTAAAAAGCTACAGAAACTGCAGAAAGATTCAGTTACAGATTAGTCATTTTTTAAAACATTACCACTATCTCATACTTACATGTAGATATTCGCCATAGATAAGACCACCTTTGCCAGCCTTGTTTAATCCTTCCTGTGATTTGTCATCTGCCTCATCTTCCAAAGCCAGTTTAGTAAAATTAAATCTATGAATAAGCAAATGATAACAGGGCTAAGTACTGCCAACAGAAGAGAACATTATAACAGATTACATCACTGTGCTGGTTATTTGAATTTGTAACAAGCGAAGACTGATTCTGTTTTTGTAAATTAAAATCACTGAAAAAAAAGAAATAAAAATAGGGTACTAAAACTAGCTGCTTCTAGGATTTTTTTAAAAATTTATTATTTTAGTTACTTATATATCTATTTCATTTGTTTTTATTTATCCCAATATCTCTTTCTTATTCACAAAAAAAGAGAAATGTACTTACTGGTATTTGTTCTTCCAAAAGGGACATCCAGTCATGGCTCCGGTATCAAATATTGCCTGTTCCAATGTCCTGAGATAAAATAAATTGCATTCCTAGTGCATTCTTTTATGTAATCTGATCATCAATTTAGGCCAGCCCTCTTCCTGAAATGCCCACCCTTGCTATCATTCAGATTCAGTGGAGATCTAGAAATTAACGTCATGAAATATTTGTCTTGTTAACTGAACAATTCCCTCATTCAATTGCAAAACAAAACAAAACAAATTCACAAGCGTAACAGGTAACAGGAGCACTTTTAATGGAATTTCAAAGTCTTAGGTTATTGCAATTTTTTCAACTTCAGATATCTACAGAGCTGAAGGAAATAATATATAAGTGATATAAATCCTCTGCATAAAAGTCAGATATACTTAAATATGTATAAATTATAAATTGTTTATAAGTCCTAGGTTCAAAACATAAATAGAAAGACCGCTCTGAAAACATAATGTTTTCAAGCAATCAAATGTTCACATTTCCAAACTTAATAAAATGTTTTGAACATTTGTTAATTCTTTCTGAGTGAAAACATGTCCCAATATTCTTCTTCAAGAGATTTTGAATTCTTCACTAGTTTTCCAAATCCTAGTTTTACTTATTGCACATTGTTATTCAATTTCATATAATCATTAACAGAGCATTTGCTGAAGTGATACATCATGTCCTCTTACTGCATCTCAATTTCACTAAATATTTAACGTGTCATATCTAGAGAAAAGAACTGACCAAAAAAATTGATCATTCTATTGACAAACTGCAATTTTCTAACCTATCAAGAGATATACATGCATCATATGGAACATTATCAATCATTGTACAGATAATGTAGCAACCATGCATCTCTTCCCACACTGCTATCTGTATGAATCTAATTTTTTAAACTTCACTGCAACTTTATAGAAAAAAAACTGCATTCAAAACACAGAGCTCTAGAATACAAAAAATAAAGAAACATATAAGGAGTGATGCTAACTGAAAGTTCAGATACTATGCAAATAAATTTCATTTTTCTACAAATGGAGATATACTGGTAGTCCGCAAGTTATGACCAATCACTTAATGAGCTTTCAAAATTACAGTGGTGGGATTCAGCCAGTTCACATCTATTCGGGAGAACCGGTTGGTAACTTTTTAAGCAGTTCGGAGAACCGGTTGTTGGAAGAAATCTNAAGAACCTGTAAGACCGTTCCCACCAACACTAACAGGGTAAGCCACTATAATATAAACAAAGAGCAAACTCTACTAGCACTGCTGATGTTACCTAGATTGGATAATGAAATGTCTGCAAGAAAGCAACCAAGCTCAGAGAGCACTAACAACTCCTCATTTGAATCTGAAGCTACAAAAAATTTTCTTTATCAGTATTTTGTTTCCTATAAATTCATTTTAAGACATTTGTAAACATAGTAACTGAAATGTTTGTACCTAAAGTCAAAGAAGTCCAGTGCTGTCATTGTTTCTAGGACAGAAAATTGTTCCACAAGCAATTTAAGGATTATTGAAATTCTCTGCATCCGAGTAACCATTTTCAGCATGTTTCTTTCATCTCTCACCTTAGTTTGAATGTATATATAGAAAATACTATTATGATTTGGCTGATAAAGCAGAACAATAACAATAAAATCATAACCCACAATAGACTGCTTGAATTGTACATTTCGATAACATTTACCACCTTACTAGGGTTTAATCTAGGCTTGTTTTGCCCCATCCATCATCCATTGGTCCCTCACAGCCCCCAGGCACAATTTTGATATTTCCATATTTTCATCTCCTGTTGCCTGATGTCCTTCTTTCTTTGTCAGAATACATCGGTGGTACAGTGGGATTTCCCTCCAAATAATAAGATTTTCTTTCTGGTAAAAGTGTATAGGACTGCAGCCCAAAGAATTTTAATTGTGCTCTTCAGTCATAAATTTTAGAGATTTAATCTAACTGGCATCCAAAAAATGGTGATTATTGTAGATGTTCAGAATATCCAAATTTCACAAGCTGAATTTCAAATTGTTTTTTATAAGAATCAGAATCCAAAGAGAGATTTAAATAAAACAGTTCTATTCTACTTACATGGCCATTCTCAAATATCACTCGAACAGAATCCAATTCCCACAGGATCTGCTTGAACCATAATTCATAAGCTAAAGTTGAAAGGAACATTAGTTCAGTTTTCAAGCAATAAATAAAAGTGAATTAATAGAGATTAATATAATATTTAAAATATTTTTAAAACCCAAAAGTGCTATAAATCAATATATTTTTCTATCCTGATTATTTTTCAGTTGCTTTTCAAGGCCAATGCAGTACTTTGGCTGAGATTTGATGGTTTTGATATAGAAAGCAAAGTTTGTAGATGTATCGCTCTGAATACAAAGATTTAAATCAGAATCACATCACTTTTCAAAAATCCTCATCTTAATGTTTATGCCAAATAATCAAACATCTTTAAAAAAGTCTAGCTACTAAAAACTACAATATGTATGTACAAACTTTATAGTAAAGTATATTGTAAAGAAACACAACCCCATTTGTCCCTGAAGTAGCATTTAAATGTACATCTGAAGAATCTACAATGTCAAATCAATAGAAGTTGCAAGTTGTAATATCACAGTGCAGACAATAGTCCCAGATTGTTCTTTTGCAGTAATAATAAAGACCAGACCAAGCACTCCATGATTCTGTTCAGAGCAAACAACATGATACTCATATCTGAATAGTTAAACCAGTGGTGGGTTTCCAAATGTTTTCCTACAGGTTCGCTCAATTCTGTGCATGTGCAGAAGCACCTGGGCAGGTGGGCAGAGCCCCCCGCTGCCGCTACTACCAGTTCGGGAGATCCGGGCTGAACTGGGAGCAAGCCACCTCTGATTTAAACAGTACATAAACTTGCAATCATCAGCTCTCCAGCAGATTTACATTCTGTAATCACCACCAATAATTTGAATTGCAGTCTCCTCTACAGATAATATTTCTATTTAGGCAAATTATATGCTTGTCTATACAAGAAGCATGTTACTGAGAAATTTGCCCCTAGTTATATAATGTATCTATCTTTTAAAATTTGTGAAAGTTGCTTGTGCCCTTATTAAAAAAAATATTTTAGCACAAGAAGGCTGAGAATAGACAGATGATTCAAAATGCTGCGACTTTGTATATAAATGACTAATTTGTATGATTGCTGTTACTAGTTAATGATGCATCTAATGACTGTATAATTTTGGCCAGATGCTCGTGTCGCCAAAATCTGGAGATAATTTAATATCTAGGGTGCTCTCACATATATCCTTTATTTCTTTATTAATAATAAACATTAATAGCAAATGGATCAATGATTATCTTTACATCACCATTCTGCCAAATCAGTGTGGACAGTGTTTCCCCTCACCCTTCTTTTACTCTGCAATGACTTGGTGAAATAGCTTAATTGAAGTGATATGATTGGGTCAAAGATTATTCTGATGGTTTTGTAGATGAATGAGGATTTGAAACCTACACTTTCTAATAAAACTTTTTACTGTTGCAATTGTAATAGAAACTCCCCAAGGTTTTAATTTACAGTTTACAGTTTCTGCAAGTAACATCTCCATTCCAGAATGACATTTATAATTTTAAGGCAGAAGCATAAGTAGCAACGTTTTCATCAAAATTTTGCAATATAGCTTGTGATTCACAATGAAAGCTTACGTATTTGCAGGTGATATTACAACACAAATGTAAAAAGTACAGACTTTGCAGCTTGATACTATAATGCAAAATACATATATTGGGTTTTGCTACATAAAAATACTGTAACTTTTAAAAAGTTAGCAAAATAAAACTATGCTCCAGCGTAAACCTACTGTAGCCAGGGAAATTTATGGATGAAACTAAATGAAACCTGAAAGCATGTATAGAACATAAATACAACATAATATATGTGTGTGTGTGTGTTTGTGTGTATGTTGTGACTCAGCAGTTATGCTGAGAGCTTTTTCAGCATACAAAATTCAGTGTGGGGATTCAGCAGTTCTGCTGAGA